GTGGTGGGGTGTGGTTACTTGAGTTTTCCTTTTTATATAACAGAATTTTACCCTTGAACAAACACGTTTGTGACTCTTTTTTTTCTTTTTTCTTTTTTTATGTGTTTCAGAGGAGTGTCAACAATATTGTCTCTGGAGTTCAGCAGTACCAAACTTCTCTTCTTGATACATTAAGGAACCAAATAAAGGGGATCTTCGAGAGATATTCAGACAGTGCGGAGCAGCTCCAAGAGGAGGCACTGGCAGCATTTGACAATTTTCAGGATCCCTTCTCCATTATGGCCACCACATACATGCAGGACAAAACCATTCAGGACCCTTTTAACCCAGTTAAACCAGAGGAGATTGTGATGTCTCAAAGGGTCTGTAGAGTTAAGAAAGGACAATCAAGGGTTCTTGCAATCAAAAACAAAAGTTTTTACTACGTACGCTTAATTAAGAGTCTTGAACAGTTGTTGTCCATTTCCAGAATTTTGGATATGATCAGCACCACGCCACAGAGCTCGCACAAAGATGATTTTTTTTTTGTATGACATTGCTGATGGGAGTCTATTCAAATCCCACCCATTGTTTTCAGTAAAACCCTCTGCTTTGCAGTTGATTTTGTAGACTGATGAAATAGAGATATGCAATCCCCTGGGGTCACACGCGTCTGTAAATAAACTACTGATGGTTTATTATACTTTAGGAAATATAGACCCCAAGTTCAGGTCAAAGCTTGCTGCAATCAGACTCCTTGCTATAGCAAAAGCTAATGATATTGATGAGTATGGTATTGATGTTGTGTTGTGTTACAAAGAATTAATGAAGACTTGCAACTGCTATATAATGGCGTCAAAATCCAAACACAGAAAGCTGGAATGGATTTATTTGGTGCTGTAGTTTCAGTGTGTGGTGACACACTTGCAGAACTCGAGCTTGTTGGTTTCAAGGAAGGAGTTGGTTTTGCCTACAGTAAGTGCAGGCATTGCGAATGTACCTTTGAAGAAATGCAAAGGAATTTTGACGAAAAACGGTTTCACTAAAAGGACCCTGGAAAAACACCTTAGACAGTGCCTTGAAATAGAAAGGGCTAGCACTGAATTCCTGAAATCAACTCTCAAAGCCACCTATGAAATTAACAGAAGAAGCAAGTTGGTTGATTTTCCAGCCTTTGACCTTATTGAGCAAACTCCACTGGACATAATGCACATCATTCTTGAGGGTGTTGCACCCATGGAAATTAAATATGTGTTAAAATACCTTGTTCTTTCGGGACAGATGGAGCTGGATGTGTTCAGTTCAGCCATGCAGAGTTTTCCCTTTTCACCAGTAGACATACGGGACAAACCTTGTGCGATCAGTGTCAGTACTTTGGCATCTAATGATAACAAACTTAAACAGTCCTCTGGTCAAATGTTAATACTGTTGAAGATTATGCCTTTTCTGTTAAGCGGCATAGAAAAAAATGATTATGTTCAGTTTGTTTTGGACTTAATTGAGATAGTTCAGCTACTTTTTGCCAGTTTTATCTGTGCAAAGTGTTTTAAGGTTGAAAACAATGAGTTGAGTTGCAGTTGCATCTGAAAAGATTTAAGCAACTTTTTCCTGACAATAATGTAATTCCTAAACAACATTACATGCTTCATCTCCCTGCTCAGATTCTTTCACTGGGCCCTTTGATAAGGCATATGTGCATGAGGTTTGAGTCAAAACACTGTATTTTCAAGCAGTGGTCATCAAAATTGAACTTCAAAAATGTCTGCAAGTCACTTGCAAACCGTAATCAGTTTTTTGAATGTTGTCAAAATGAACTTGGTTCTGAGCATCCTATGTTTGCACCCGAGAAGGAATTGGGTCCTGTGTCAGAAGTCACAAATATGGAATACATTACAGCAAAGATGAAAGATTTTTTTAGGGATTGATTGTATACGACATGCAGTGGCAGTAAAGTGGTTTAGTCTCAATAGTAACAAGTATGTCAGTGAAAAGTCCCTGATAGTCACAAGTGCAAATGAGAAAGTGCCTGTCTTTGGACTTATAAAAAACATTTACGTTGTAGACAGTTCATTATTTTGTTTTGAATACCAGCTGTATGAGACTCTAGATTTTAAAGGGGTCATCGGATGCAAAATTCACTTTTGTTGGTGTTTGAACATAAATGTGTGTTGGAAGTGTGTGTACACATCCACCCTATAATGATAAAAATCCACCCAGTGGTTTTTTAAAGATCCCTATTTAAAAATCCCCTTTCTCAAATCAGGCTGTTCTGAGATTCCTGTCAGAATGACGTAGTTCTGCACAGGCCCCTCCCACGATAGTTGATTGACAAGGCCGTCTTACCTGAGTGAGCTGAGAGCTGTCCGCCATTGTGTCGACTCCAGTGCAGGGGAAGACAAGAATGTCTCAGATTAAGCGATTGAGGTGTTTTGTTGTTGGATGTAATAATGAATAAAGCAGTCGTTATTTACTCCCGACATCTGAGACTTGAGACTGAGACTGTCTGTGAAGACACAGAGGATTAATGTTACTTTCATTTTTGAAAGAAATGCGCCGATCCCCGATCTGCCTAAATGCGTTTAAGTTCGCGCGATCATTCGTGATCCAGCTTCATCTACAGATCGCGGCTGAAGTTTACAGTCTGCTCGTCACCCCACGAAAGAGGGGCGGGGTCAGCAGAGCTCATTAGCATTTAAAGCAACATGGACTGGAACAGTGTGCTGAAAACAGAGCTGATTTTGACAGGGTAAAAAGGGTGTTTTTTACACTACCGTTGAGAAATTTTAACCAAAGTATGTTATAGACTTTTCATTAAGACCCTAAAGAATCATATCAACTCGTGGAAAATGGGCATCTGATGATCCCTTTAAGAGAGATCTGTTAGCATATGAAGTTGCTGTACCCAATCTTGCCCAAGCAACAGAGTTTATAGATGCTGAAAAGCTCCTCGATCCTATGTCATATTATCCAGTCAGTTTCAAAAACAGTGTGTATGTATTGACAAAATATAATCTGGAAGATGTCATTGCACTTAAAACTGAAATTAAAAACCATACTAGATCATTGGAAATTGGAGTGTGGTGACTTAATACCGCAGAGTCTTATCATTTGTTGTTAGGTTGTAAATAAATGTGTTGGTGTTGACATAAAACAAGCATTTGGAATATATAATACTAAATAATCTAAATATAAATAATCTAATATACTAAATATCTCAATAATGTGTCATATAATTGCAGAGATGTACCAAAGAACATCTGCAAAATCATTAACTGAGCCACAAGCTGAACCAGATGTAGCTGAGGAAGACTTGGGGAGTTTCTGTGTCATTGTTAAGGGACAGACTGGCTTCTGTATGTGTTCAGTTTACAGTAGTTTAATGTAACCCAAAAAACTACACCTGTAATATTTTCTGCTTCATTTACATGTAATGAACAGGACAAGCTGAAACAACTTTACATTGCCTGAAGGAGAGAGAGGCGAATAATTCACAGATTTTCAGCATATACAACACTATACATTGTGGACTTGAGAAGTGTTTGCCCATCTTCTCTGTGAGACGAAGACCCAAATAAGAAGATGCCGTGGTTAACGGATAATGTAAGTGTGCTTAAAATGATCTTATGTCTGCTTTACACATTTTTATTAAGTTCTCAGTACATGACTCTGCACACAGTTCATTTAATATAAGCACTACACTCATCTTATTTCATTCACACATTCAAACTACACTCATCTCATTTTCTATATATTAAAGTCCATGTAAAGCAATATTAAATGTGTGTTCCGAGTTTGACACATCACAAAAATGTTATTAACCACCCAGCCAAATTTGAATGATTAAAAAAACGCCATTAAATAAAATGTTAAAAACAAGCAGTATTCTCTGCTCTCAAACGCTGGGGGCATATCCGCTCATATCTCTCTAGATAACAATGACACACCTGAGTTTAAGGAGGAGGTCAAATATTTTTTGAAAAATATTACAATTAGCAAGAGATATGGCCGCATATCCACCAAATTCAGGGCAGCAGCACTTGCTTTTCCAGATGATGATGAAAAAGCTGCCAAAGATTGCACCCGGTCACAGGGGAGGAAGCCGACATCTTTTCCCGGGGACACTATTTAAGTCTTCAAGGCCAAGTGGAAAAAGTGAGTATTTTAATGCCATTACTGGATATCAAGAAGTTATTGGTAACACTTAATTTTAAGGTGTCCTTGTTACATGTTACATGTACTTACTATTATAATAACAATAAACTTTGCATAATTACATGCAAGTAACCCTAAGCCAAACCCTAACATGTAGTAAGTGCATGTAGTTTATTATTACTCAGTACTTAAATGTATAATTACACTGTAACAAGGACACCTTAAAATAAAGAGTAACCAAGTTATTCTGCATTTCTTTGTTGGGTAAATGAAGATGAAAATAAAGAATCAGATTTATTTACTCACCCTCATGAAGTTGCAAACCCACTTCTGCAGAAACACAAAAGATGTCAATACATTGTCACTCACTTTAAAGGCACAATATGTAAGATTTTTTTATTAAAATATCCA